GCACAAGTCTTACGAGGAGAGGCTGAGGGAGCTGGGGGTGTTCAGTCTGGGGAAGAGGAGACTGAGGGGTGACCTTATCGCTCTGTACAAGTACCTGAAAGGAGGGTGTAGAGAGACGGGGGTCGGTCTCTTCTCCCAAGTTACAGATGTCAGGACAAGGGGTAACGGCTTCAAGTTGCGCCAGGGGAAGTTCAGGTTGGATATTAGGAAACACTTCTTTACTGAAAGGGTTGTCAGGCATTGGAATGGGCTGCCCAGGGAGGTGGTGGAGTCACCATCCCTGGAGGTATTTAAGAAACGTGTAGACATGGTTCTTCAGGGCATGCTCTAGTGCCCAAGATTACTGGTTTGTGGTGGGGTGCTGGGGTGGTGTGGGGGTTTTTTTGTTTTTTTTTTTTGTTTGTTTGTTTGGTTTTTTGTGGGTTTTTTTTGTGGTTGGACTCGATGATCTCTGAGGTCCCTTCCAACCACCATGATTCTGTGATTCTGTGAGCCTGCTGGATTTTGAAGTTCCCGAGAGCATTTGTCATGTTATGGTGGCCCAAGCTGCGGTGACGGCTGGCTTCCTCTCACGGCTGGGGGAACAAACCCGAATAGCACTTCTGTTCCAAGATGCTTCCAGGAGCAGCTCTCCTGGCCCAGCTCTCTGCAGCTCTATTGCCCTGGTGGCCACGATGGAGGCAGCACAGAAACACAGTCTTTCTTGCAAAAGGCCTTGCCTGTTTTGGGCTCCCCTCAGGAGCCCAAATTTTGCAAGGCTGGGTCCTGCTTCATAAGGAATGTCGCCAACAGCTACAGACTTTTTTTTTTTTTTTTTTTAAAGTGTAGTCACTTAACGGAAGGCAATTCACACAGAACCCCAGAATCTTCTAGGTTGGAAGGGACCTTAAAGATCATCTTGTCCAACCGTCAACCTAATTTTGACAAAAATAAACACCCACACAACAAACAAGAAGCACCACCATCACTAAACTGTATCTCCCAGCACCACATCAACCCATCTTTTGAACACCTCCAGGGATGGGGCCTCAACCACCTCCCTGGGCAGCCCAGTCCAATGGCTGAGAACCCTTTCGGTGAAAAAATTTTTCCTAATCTCCAGCCTGAACCTCCCCTGGCACAACTTGAGGCCATTTCCTCTTGTCCCATGGCCTGTTCCTTGGGAGAAGAGACCGACCCCCCCTGGCTACACCCTCCTTTCAGGGAGTTGGAGAGAGCCAGAAGGTCTCCCCTCAGCCTCCTTTTCTCCAGGCTCAACACCCCCAGCTCCCTCAGCCTCTCCTCACAAGACTTGTGCTCCACACCCCTCACCAGCTCCCTTGCCCTTCTCTGGACCCGCTCCAGCCCCTCAATGGCTTTTTTGTGGGAAGAGGCCCAAAACTGGACACAGCCCTCGAGGTGGGGCCTCCCCAGTGCCCAGTCCAGGGGGACCAGCACCTCCCAAATCCTACTCCCCATGCTGTTCCTGACACAGGCCAGGATGCTGGTGGCCTTCTTGGCCACCTGGGCACACTGCTGGCTCATCTCCAGCCCACAGGTGACCAACACCCCCAGGTCCTTTTCTGCCAGGCAGCTCCAGCCACTCTGCCCCCAGCCTGGAGCGCTGCAGGGGGTTGGTGTGTTGCTGTTGTTCTCCTGAGCTGCAGGAAGCGAGGCTGAGCCGTGCAGGCATTTCCCAGCCTTTGACTTTCCAGATTTCAGGCTTCCACACAGAGTTCCTAGATGGGAAGAAGTTCTCAAGAGGCTTGGGGTTGTTTTTTTTTGTTCAAGAGGCTCGTTTGTTTTTTTCCGAAGCAAGACACAAAGTTCTCCTCTGTGCAGGGAGTCACGCTGTCTCCGAAGCAGAGCTCTGGTGGGACACGTAGCCCACAGCAGCTTCTTCTCATCCTCAGAAGAGATGTGGCAGCCACTCTTTGTGGGTCTGTCACTGTCCCCAGTGAGGTGTTGGCCACAGCTGGTTACTGCTTTGGGTATAAGCAATGTCAGGAGGCTGTGAGTCTGTGATCAGGTGCCTCTAACGAGAGGCCACACATCTATAGGACAGTATATAGTATAGACAGACGTGTACATTCAACTGCACCCTTGGCTACTGGGGTTATAACATAAAATGAAATTATTTTGGTTGATTTTTTTAGGTTTTTTTGAAGCCTTAAGTCATTTTTACCTCCATATCTGGAAGTGAAAAATCAAAGTAGCTCAAAGGACCCCCAGGTTATGTGTGCTCTTAGGAAACACCTGGCTGGGGGACCCTTGGGTGACCCATCCTCCCAGGTACCTCATAGCCCTGCAGGATGAGATGTTCCCAGCCTGAGGGACGCCCAGAGGTGTCTCTCTATGGGCTGGATGAAAGCACAGACCTTCTTTAAAAGCAATTGGAATGTGCACAGACCTGAACTGCCATACTCCTGGAGCGTTGTGTGAAGAGGCAACACGAGGAGCACCAGCACGGAGCGATGGGAGCACTTTGCCTCCAGTTCTCAGGGAGCCACCTCCAAGGAGGGAACCTCTTCCTTTTCCAGGCCACCCCTTCAGAACCTCCTCCATCCCTTGGCACGTTGGTAGATGAGAGGGTCTGCCTTGCAGCTGGGTGGTTACTTTATGTCACCCTTCTCTTGTTGCTCAAGGTTATGGGGCATGAAGATCACCCACCGTGTGTGCCTGGCTGGTCATCCATCTTGTGGGTACTCTTGTTTGGAGGAACCTCAACCTGATTCTTCCGACTGCAGGACTATTACTCATTTTCCTATTAATTTTTGTGGTCGTGCTACTCTTCCTTTTTGCACGTGCGGTTTCCCCAGCTGCTTTAAAGGGACTTCTCCCCTTGTCTTCATCCACCCAAGTGCTCCCTTGGTTGGGAAGGTGCCAGAGGTGAAGCGTTTGTGCTGGTTTTCCTCCCTGCCTTCTGCCCTCTGCCTGGGGGAATGTATGGAGGAACACGTGGAGACCCCAAGGGTGGTGACACAGACCGTGCTTTGTCCTGTCTGTCCCAGAGGGGACCGAGAGAGTAGAACATCTGCTGGTACCACCAAGCTTTGCTCTAGGCTTAGAAATAAGCTGCTCACCAGGCTGGGGACCCAACGTGGCTCCTTTCTGTCTGCAGCGACGTAAGAGGCGGGGTCCCAGGTTGGGAAGGTGTGACCAGAGCTACACTTAACCACCTGGGTGGTTTGGGGTTCTTTTTTTTCTTCAAAACAAAAGGAAAAGGATTTCTTTTGCTCTTAGGGCAGGACTCCCTCCTGGGGAGGAAGAACCCCAGGCACCAATAGAGGTTAGGGGTGGATCTTCTGGATAGCACTACTGAGGAGAAGGGTCTGGGGGTCCTGGTGGGTAGTAAACTATCCATGAGCCAGCAATGTGCCCTTGTGAAAAAAAAAAAAAATCAGTTCAAATTTGTTCCTTTCATAAAGAACCAGCCCTTTCATGTACCCCTGGATCAGCAAAGCGAGCCAGGTTCTTCCATGGTGTAGCTCAACCCATCTCTGCCCAGCTTTTGGCTGCGACCCCTGACTTGACCATCACCCATCTGTGGTTTCCTGCTGCTGGCAAAGGAGCCACCACCCGGGGCACCCCAGTGAGTGACCACAAAGGGTTCCTCAACACCCTGTCTGCTTGGCATGGCCCTAACACAAAGCCGGGCAGGCGGTTACCAGTGATCAAACTGGTAACTGATCCGGTTACTGGTGACCAAACCGGACTGCCCGAAGAGAGTCAGGAGAGAAAAGGGGCTTTTATTTCAGGATACGGAGGCTGAAAGGCTTTCAGCTCATGGACAACACTGACAATACAAAATTCAGGCTGCTGCGAGCGGTTCTTGGTCCTCACCTTGAAAATTCCCAAATTTAGTACGTTTATGCTTGTGGAATGCGTTTTCTTTTTTAAAGCAGCCAGCCAGCTGCTGCAAACGCGCCTGCAGCGCTACGTAACAGGCAGCTGCTTTTCTGGGATTATTCAAAAACCTTCAGACCTCTCAGCCTGGCAAAAGCTTTCCCTCCCAGATTTTTCTACAGGTCAGAAAACGTGTTCTCAACACTGCGCTGTCGTGGCTGGTAACGTCCTGGGTGTTAAATAAGGTGGGTTATTTCATCCATTACATAAAAAAAACAGGATAAGCGGGGAGGGAGGTGCAAGGGCTCAGGTCCGTGGCAAATGTGGTGTGGAGGAAACCTTGGCTCCATCTGCTCACCTTATCCAAAGCCAGGCCTGTTACCAGCGGGGCAAGGCAGAAAGAGAACCCCCAGGAGCCCAGTCCCAGGTTCTCTGTAGTTCCTGCCATAGCAGCTTACTGGGAGCTCAGAGGAGCCCTGGTAAATGCTGTCTACTAAAACAAAACCTTTTGTCAGGATACTTAATAGGGGCAAAACTCAATTTGCCTCTATAATTCCATAATACAGTGGAAGCTGAAAGTGTAGTTTAGCACAGAATGCTATGGGGTTGGAAGGGACCTCTGGAGATCATCCAGTCCAACCCCCTGCCAAAGCAGGGCCACCCAGAGCAGGTCCCACAGGAACATGTCCAGGTGGGTTTGAATGTCTCCAGAGAAGGAGACTCCACCACCTCCCTGGGCAGCCTCTTCCAGGGCTCTGCCACCCTCACAGGCAAGAAGTTCTTCCTCATGTTTAGATGGAACTTCCTGTGCTCAAGTTTGTACTGCACAGATAAAGATGTGGAACAGGATATCTTTTTGAGGGGATAAAGGGGGATAACTTTTCTACCTGCTTCCAGTCATTAAAACAGCAATACTTTTTTTTTTTTTAATGTTAAGTCTCCCAGTAAAAAAAAAAAAACAAACCCAAACTTTTTAGAGAATCACAGAGCTTTGATCCCAGGGCACAAAGACCTGCTTCTGTGCAATGTGGTTTTAAACTTTTTTTGTTGCCCTGGGGACCAAATGAGAGAGTTACACGGACAGTGGTGCAGCACAACCTACAGCAGTTGGATTTCTGTGACCTGTGACCAGAGACAGGGAAAAGACACGTGAACTAAGGAGGGAATTTCTCTTCTTTCCCCTTTGCTCTACCTGGAAAGCTGGGTAGGAAAAGGCAGTATCTTACAAAAGACAAGTGTCGAGCACCACACCTAGCATACAAAACAGAGCAGAGGATGGGACAGATCACTGCAAAGGAATTCTTAAGCCAAACTTAAAAAAATAAAAATAAATGCACAAACCTTTCAAGAAATAATCGGTATATAATCACAATGCAAAAGGAACGCAAAAGGGACTTTTTCTGAATTCCTCATATTCCAGCCACCCTTTCCTCCCACTCCAGCCTTCCTAAGTCCATTTTTGCAAGGTCTGGGAAGCCCAGTTCTATGTCCCAGTTGCCCAGAGTAAGCGAATGGTGGGCTGATACTGTTTAATTTATGAGATCCTGGAGCTCCTCATCTGTCAGCTCGTTGACTTCCATGATCTTTTCCAAGTGCTCCATGTACCGGGCATGGTCTTGCAAAAAGTGTGGTACCCTCATGTTCTCAGTCACAGCTAACTCCTTCAGCCGGTCCACGTCCTCGTAGGAGATCTGGAAGGAAGGACACGGGTTAATTTTGCACTATAGCCCTGTTCTTTCCCTAAATTATCTTTCCTAGATGAGAAAACAATGATTTCAGAGCAGGGGGAGTGAAAAGCTTGTGAGAATCCTTTGAAAACATGAGTAACCGTGCGCGTCAATGGAAGATGAAAAAAAAAAAAAAAGTAATTTTAGCAAATGCCTCCAAAATTCCTGATTGTGCTTTTGATTCCATCAGTGAACAGACTCATAGGATGCTGAATGAGAATGAGACTGACTTGCTCCAGCTGCAGGAATGGAGAGGGAAAGGAGCCTCTTCTCAAAGACGTGGAAAGATTGACAGGAGAATGGAAGAAACGCGATGCTGAGGACTGAGGAATTAGAAAGGGAGAGCAGGAAGCAGGAAGGGTCCAGATTCGGGAAAGGCAGGGTGCCAGCTGACCTGAACTCAGATATTTTCATTCTCACTAGCAAATGTGCTGGAAAGCAGCTCTGAGGAGAAGGATCTGGGGGTCCTGGTGGGTAGTAAACCATCCCTGAGCCAGCAATGTGCCCTTGTGGCCAAGAGGCCAATGGGATCCTGGGCTGCGTAGGGAAGAGTGTGGCCAGGAGGTGGAGGGAGGTCATTCTCCCCCTCTGCTCTGCACTGGGGAGGCCACAACTGGAATCCTGCCTCCAGTGCTGGGCTCCCCAGTTCCAGAGAGACAGGGAACTGCTGGAGAGAGTCCAGCGTAGGGCAACAGAGATGATGGAGGGATTGGAGCATCTCCCTGATGAGGAAAGGCTGAGAGAGCTGGGGCTCTTGAGCCTGGAGAAGAGAAGGCTGAGGGGAGACCTTATTGATGCTTCCAAGGATCTAAAGGGTGGGCTGAAGGAGGATGGAGCTGGACTCTTTTCAGGGGTTCCCAGGGACAGGACGAGGGGCAACGGGCACAAGCTGGACCATGGGAAGTTCCACTCCAATGTGAGGAAGAACTTGTTTGGGGTGAGGGTGTCAGAGCCCTGGCAGAGGCTGCCCAGGGAGGGTGTGGAGTCCTCCATCTTCTCTGGAGACCTTCAAGCCCCAGCTGGATGCTCCTGAGTGATGTGCTCTGGGCAGCCCTGCTTTGGCAGGGGAGTTGGGCTGGATGGGCTCTAGAGGTCCCTTCCAACTCCAACAATTCCGTGGTTCGATAGCAGGGCAGGGATTGCGTTTGCCTCTCAGCATCAGAGTACACCCTCCTGGGTACAGGTGTGACACTCTTAAACATTTTCAGCTACTACAGGGCCTACTACCTTTTTTCCTTAGGAAAGCTGAGATTTTTCTCCATAGTCTTACAGTTCTATGAGCTAGGACTTCCAAGTCTTGAGCTCACAGCAGTGCAAGGTGTTGTGAATGATGGTCCCGAGAGGGTGAGCGCGTTGGCCGTGCGAGAGCTACCCAAGCTGCCCTGCGAGCACACAACAGGACTCCTTGGGCTCCATGCATCCAGTGTGATGAAATTTATGTAGCTGATGCTTTGTCTACAAGCTGTGTGCTCCGGGCACCCTGCAGACAGAAGTGTATGTGCTGGCAAAACCCACAAGCCAGGCTGTGCTTAGTAACTGGCACTATCTATTTCCTCACAGCAGGTTTGTGCCAGGTGGCTTGAGAGCAGAGCCCGCTCCTTCCAATCTTTTTATCCCATATTTCTTCTGAGGAGCTGAGTGCTGCCCGGTCAGGGGTCCCTGGAAACAGCCTGCCCTCTTAGCTGGTGAGGGTTTCTGTTCAGAAAAGATTACGGTGAGCATGAATGATCCACCAACTCGTAAAGGTCATGGAAGGGCTCTCTGGAAAGACAGGACAGCATAATCCAGATTGCCTGCCTGCCCAGATTAGTTTTAGCAGACATGGGGTGCAAATCTCACTAATGATAATGGGAACAAAGTCTACAAAGACCATGAATTTACATCCGAGTACCCAACGTGTGCTTTTTCTAGCTGCGGTGGAAAGATGCATCCTGATTTTTAAGAAAAAAGGAGCATGCACCCATATTCGAGCTCACTCAAATCCCTAAGATACTGCTGTTTGAGGACCGTGTGGCATCGCACCTGATGTAGAAGTAGACACGGAGGAGCTATACAAGATCATACCATCTCCTCTCAGTCTGGAGAAACAGCACCAAATGACCTTCCCTCCTGTCCCGACTTGAAATTCCACCTCTTTTACTCCCAAACAAAGGAAAGAAAAAGGACCCCTTCCCCCTTGTATTTATGTTCAGGCATTTCTGAACAGAAAGGGGTTTCTTGCAGCAGTGGCTGCAACCAAGAAACAACTATCACAGAATCACAGAATCATCTAGGCTGGAAGAGCCCCTCGGGATCATCGAGTCCAGCCATCAGCCCTACTCTAAAGTTCTCCCCTACACCGTATCCCCCAACACCACATCTAAACGTCCCTTAAACACAGCCAGGGATGGGGACTCAACCCCCTCCCTGGGCAGCCTATTCCAGTGTCTGACCACTCTCTCTGTGAAGAATTGTTTCCTAATGTCCAGTCTAAACCTCCCCTGGCGCAATCACTATCTGTGATCTAAGGTATGGTTTGAATGGGATGTATTTCCCCAGTCCTTGCAATTGTTAAAAAAATGACAAAAGTTGACATCCTGAGCAGATCAAAAACATAATCCCATCCTACTGCAGCAAAAGGTGTCTTCCTTTACCACGCAGATCAAAAACATAATCCCATCCTACTGCGGCAACAGGTTGTCTTCCTTTACCATGTGTAGTTAAAATTATTGTACTAGGTAAAAATGACTGAGGCTAAACCAGCCTTGCTTAGGCTCTTTGTAATTTGCATTCTTTGTGTTTGCAGTCTTGGGAAACACAACAGTAGGTGATATCTTGCTGCTTTTGCCTTTTAAAACTCTGGTAGTTATGCTACACTGAAGTGCACCCAAGATCTGTATTCTATTTGCCTTTAATATTCCTTGCATGAGATTATTACGTGAATGTTTTGCAGGGCTTCCCCTATTTGCTTCTTTCCTGCAAAACTTTTAAAACTGTTCCTTCCCAAAAGCATCTTTTCTCAAGCTTCAAGCTCCTTCCTTGGCCAACTTCTAGGTATGCCAAACAGCTTGCATGGGTTCTGTTTCCACGCACTGCCCTCTTCTACCCTGTAAGCAGCGTCAGAAGCACCACGAAGGCACGGCTGCCTCCATCAGCAACATCTCTGGCATTCAGATGAGAACAGAAGAGATGGAAAACAGTGTTGAAAACTGTTTTCCAACACTGATGGAAACAGCGTGGCTCTGTCTTAAATACCTTCACGTGAGAAAGAGGTGCTCTGATTCTACAACTGTGTTACCTATCTACTAAAGCACGGAAACACTTTGTTGTCAGCAGCGTAGTTGACTGCCTTCATTTCCTATGATGGTTAGACCTTTATTTTATTTGCAATGAAAAGATGCCTAAGGTAGGCATGCTAAGCAAGGTGAGCTCACTTCTTACAAGACAAGAACACTGAGAATCTTCAAAAGGCAATGAAAATTTTCCCACTAAACGCTGGGCTTTCCTATATTTAAACCCTGCGCTTTTTCTTCTAGCCTGGAAGACACACCAGCCAAGCTTAGTGTTCCCTTTGAAACAACCTGATCCTCTTATTCCACCCTAAACTAATAAATCACCCTCTAGAGGGGTGATAAACTCCTAATAACCACAGGCTAGATCTCAGTGCAAGTTTCATATTTCTCTATGGTCACGGAACTTGTTTTCCCTGAGAGTATATGGAGATATTGGAGCAGACCCAGAGAAGGGTCACTAAGATGATGAAGGAACTGGAGTATCTCTCCTATGAGGAAAGGCTGAGAGAGCTGGGACTATTTGGCCTGGAGAAGAGAAGGCTGAGGGGGCTCTTACCAGTGTGTATAAACACCTGATGGGAAGGAAGGACAAAGGAGTTGGGCTCTTCCCAGTAGTGCCCACTGGCAGGGCAAGAGGTAATGGGCACCGGTGAAAGTGCACTAAATTCTGTCTGAAGGCAAACCCCTTTGTCATGGTGAGGGTGGTAAAACACTGGCACAGGTTGCCCAGAGAGCTCATGGAGACATTCAAAGTCCACCCGGACTTGGTCCTGGGCTCTAGTTGACCCTGCATGCAGGTTGGACTAGATAATCTTGCAAGGTCCCTGCAAGACCTCAACTGATCTGTGATGCTGAAAGCAGGCACTGCTCTTATATAGAAAATTTTGGTTTGATTGCAGAAGATACATTCAGAGTAGACTTTAAGATGCCTTGATTTAGAAGTTGAGTAGTCAAGCACTTATAAATTATCGTACTGCTAGAATTAAGCTGCTGGTAGACCCTTAATGTGGATGCCTTGCCATGTGGATTATAGTGGAATCTGTAATTGTATGAGGAATGACTTACTACATTTTTTGAAGTGGCCTGGCAATCCTGCAGACTTCCTGAAGAGAGAAAGGGATAAAGCAGGGCAGGAGCAGTGTGTGTTCACCAGCTTAGCAGGCAGAAGCTGTGCGGAGTTAAGCAGGCTTAAAGCAAAAGGAAATTTCAGAGAACAAAGCTGCAGAGACTGACAGCACAATTTTATTTTCAGAGCTTCCTAACTTGGTTCAGTTCCCTCACTAATATGGATGTTTCTGACACTAAAGGGGAAACTTCTTAAATGTGGACTGAACCTTTCTATCCTAACTGAGACCCCACCTGGAGCACTGTGTCCAGCTCTGGAGTCCTCAGCACAGGAAGGACATGGACCTGTTGGAACAGGTCCAGAGGAGGGTCAGGAAGATGCTCAGAGGGATGGAGCCCCTCTGCTGTGAGGACAGGTTGAGAGAGTTGGGGTTGTTCAGCCTGGAGAAGAGAAGGCTCCGGGGAGACCTTATATTTGCCTTCCAGTACCTGAAGGGGCTACAGGAGAGATGGGGAGGGACTCTTGGTCAGGGAGTGGAGCCATAGGAAGAAGGGTAATGGTTTTAAACTGAAAGAGGGGAGATTTAGATGAGATACCAGAAAGAAATTCTTTGCTGTGAGGGTGGTGAGACCCTGGAAGAGGTTGCCCAGAGAAGCTGTGGCTGCCCCATCCCTGGAGGGGCTCAAGGCCAGGCTGGATGGGGCTTGGAGCACCCTGGTCTGGTGGGAGGTGTCCCTGCCCAGGGCAGGGGGTTGGAACTGGATGATCTTGAAGGTCCCTTCTAACTCTAACCATTCTATGATAATGTGCCACTTCCCTTCAGCACCCATTGACTGCCAAGTAGGCAGGAATGTGGGTATACCCGCTCTAAATGCAAACATAACACCACCAATTTGAATCCTGATTTATGTGACTATGAACCCTGCTTTATAATTGTAGAAAGTTAGCAATCCAAGAATTTAATTCAGGAATTATGACGTTTCTACACTTCTTAGAATGACTTTGAGAACAAACAAGCAATGACAGTTGGAATGGACATAAAGTGTGTTCTGTGAAGGTACAAATGCCATGTTTTCTGGGGAAGAAAGGAACTCTGATTTTTGAAAAACATCAGAGGTGACATCAGTGAGAGGAAGTTGAGAAGAAAAACCCTTTGTGGTGGACGGGGATGCGTTAGCAACAAAGGGTTAATTTTGTTTTCTATTACCACCACTATATCTAGCACCTCCCCGATTGCCCAGGGCAGTCCATTGTACTGCAAGTCAGGCAGTACCCTGTCAAGGCAGGAAAGGGACATCTGAAAAATATCCCTGTAAAATCTTCACCTGATACGTGAGGAATGAGGAAAAAGCTGGTAGAAACGTTTGGGGCCTTGAAATATTTGTAACTTGCATTGTGTAATACAAGATGCTGCACGGAAGGGAGGTTTCTAGATCCAAGTAGAACAGGGACTCCCAGCTCCTTGCAGGCAGGGTTGCTGAAATGATCAACCTGTACTCTTTGGTAAGAATGAGTCCACTCACCTTTCCAAGGGCTGTCAGAAGATGGAAATCAATGGACGCCCTGTACCTCAGGATTCGGAGGATGCCATCCAAGTACACCTGATCCTTATTGAAACAGCCTAAAAGGAAGCGAGATACATAGTGCTCTCTCCGAGTTTGTTCAGGGCATGTTCTCAGAAGGCATACATCTCTTGGAATAAACATGAAAGGAGGTCAAACGGAGCATGAACTTTTCACCGTTTTTATTTACATTCCCACCTCCAACAAAAAAAAAAAAAATCCATTAGTGATTCAGTTTGAAAGCTTCAAGGATGTACTTTTTCAGCTATTTTCTCCTTAGAAGAAAACCTGCTTGCCTTGGTTCAGAAAGAGCAGGGTCCCCTTTCTCCTGCCTGACGCGACGAAGGAGCTTCGCGCGTGTCCTGCAAACCTCCCCGCAGCACAAAACCAGAGAAGCCACGCGGGGAACCCACCTGGTTGGGATGTGTCAGTCCACCCTCTCTTGGCTCGTACGCAGTAATCCCACCTGGTGTTGGGGTCCTTGACAAATTTCCCTACGTCCTGGAAAAGCTGACTGAAGGACATTCGGCTGGCCTGGTACACGGTGTAGTAGAGCAGGGCAGCCCTCCAGAGGAAAGGGTCTTTGCGGAAGAGGACGCTGTGAATGCTTGCTAGCCCCTCTTCTGTAGGGTTGATTGGTTTTAACCCGTGTTTTCTACGCCCGTTCCAGTTGCACCAAGGCTGGCTGTTGTTGTTAAAACCCCGAAAATAATGAGTTCCTGAAAAAGAAAGGATATACGCAACTTAGAACAGTAGAATCTGAATGATTCATACCCATTTCAAAGCTCTGAACTGGTAGGACTGGGCACAGGGAAAAGCACCAAGTTTAGCCCTGTCTACAACAGAGAATTTTGTCAGAGGTAGATACACGGTGCAATTATTCACCTGCTGACTGCAAGTGGGATTCTTGACAATGCCCTAAGGACTACAAATGTCAGCAGGACATGAGTTCCCAAATCCACAAGGAATTTTCTAAAAGTGTCTTACATGCTGGATGTCTCTAGCATAGGCTAGGCATTGTAGCAAAAAGTAGGAAGGAGAATCCAAGTAAGGGGGCAGAAATGTGATTAAATGGATGTACTACAGCCTTGGAAGAGGCTGTGTCCCCTTAAAATGTGAAGAACAGTGCTCCAAGGCAATCATAGGGCTTATTCTTCAGCTGAAATTCAGTTGCTACCCAAGTTTATCCAGTTTTGATGTATTTAACTAGAAGGGATTCACCGAAAAGTTTGTAGAAATTTTCCATGGGGCTGGGCCAACTTTGTGCAAAATGCAAAATCGAGGCAATCTGGCACTGGTTTAGGGTTCATTGAGGAAATTCTTCATACCTAAAGCACGCCTACATTTGCAAGCAGTGCAGCATAACAGGAGCAGATTTGTAAAGTGAAATGGCTGGTGCTGAGGTTGAACTGTCACATTTTTTCCGTTTCCTTATTTTTTTTCACTCCAGCCTAGCTCTAGGTTGGTGCCAGCACAGAAGGCATGGCCTGGAGCATGGTCTCTGGGCTAGCATCATCTGAAAGGATTACACTTTGACTGCTCCAAGATTCCTTTGGCACGTGAGCCTCAGTGCAGCAAGCGAGACTACTTGGTAGACTCCATTCAAAAGCTGGATCTGATTTGATTTAAAATAGAATCATAGAATTATAGAATTCTCTAGGTTGGAAGGGACCTTTCAGATCATCTCGTCCAACCATCAGCCTCACTCTGATCAAAACCATCACCAAACCATGTCTCTAAGCACTAGGTCAACCCAGCTTTTCAATCCCTCCAGGGATGGGGCCTCAACCACTGCCCTGGGCAGCCCAGGCCAAGGCTGTTATTAACCCTTTCCATGGAAACATTTCTCCTAATCTCCAATCTGAACCTCCCCTGGGGCAACTTGAGGCCATTTCCTCTTGTCCCATGGCCTGTTCCTTGGGAGAAGAGACCGACCCCCCCTGGCTACACCCTCCTTTCAGGGAGTTGGAGAGAGCCAGAAGGTCTCCCCTCAGCCTCCAAATGCTAATCTACATTATCCCTCAAGTGGATTATCTTCCTTCTGCTGTGTGGTGCAGTGACAAATAGGTTTCTCCTTCCCTTTAGCACATCTACAGCGTAGATTCTTTAGACAGGGATGATCCCTGCATCGGTCTATGTCCTGCCTCTGGCCCATCACTGCAAAATAAGTAAGAACGCATGCAAGTACTCCCCTTTGCCTGAAGAACTGATGTCATGCTCATACCAATTTCATGTCTCAGCATCCCTTCCAGCCAGTGCTCCCGTGCAGTGGAGATATTGATAGTGAGAGTGGGGCGGCCGTTCACCACCGTCATTGAAGCTCGAGAGAGCAGGTCCTCCGTGAGATGGACCACAATCTGAAGATAAGAGAGGTCAGGTAGCAAAGAGCCTTCTTCTCGCTCCAGTTTCTGCTTTGTCCTTTGGCCCTTCCAGGACTGCGTTTCTTTTTGATACCTTGCCCTTCACAACTCTTTCTTGCTACCAACAGTCACTTAGAAGAGTCACCTCTGACTCCACTGAGTCACCTGTCCCAGTCACCTGTGCTGCTGACAAAACCTCAGACTTTAGTTGGACTCAGCATGAGAGTTAAGACAGATACGAGACTGCAAAATTTAATATGGTAACATTGACTAGATTAAGGGGGGGGGCAATAAGATACATAGTAAAATAGAGAAAATTAAGTTTTTTCAACTGTGTCTAATTATCTTGGTATTTCCAAGAACTGAAAAATATTAAATAAACACCCATAAATTTTCTGGGTATCTATACACTAGACAGTCTGAAACCTTTTTTTTTTTTTTTTTAAGTTGCAATTCTAAAGCTACACAAAGGAGAGGGGGAAGCACTGAGTACATTGTTTCCTGATACATCATGCAGACTTAATATTATAAAAATACCGATATTGTTTTCTTTTATACAGCAATGCAGTTCTTGTTTTCCTACTTTTTTCTTGGAAAACTAGTAATCAAAAGAAAACCTGCCAAAGAAAGAAATTAAAGCCCATTGATATGTTTTGTTATTAGAGTCTTAAAAGACTTTTCAAACAAGTGACTGGGAGGGAGAGGGGAAACTCTCTTTGTTGAAGATTAAGCACCTTTTCCTCTTCACGTAATGCCTAAAGAAACTCCCCACAGTACTGCTCAGAAGAGAACAAGGGGGAGTACCTACAAGAGAGATAATTTTTTAATATCAGTTACCAAAAAAAACCCAAAAAACCAACAAAAAAAGACCCAGGGATCAAAGGCAACAACACGACACTTCCCTGTACTCAAACCCCACCATTCAACTCCAAGCTCAAAAGCAATCAATCAGTGCCATAAGCTCCTTATTTCAGATGCAGGAAAGAAAGGTAAACCCTACAGCATTTAAAGTACCTCTTAGCTTTATTAACACCTCTCCAACTGGAGAGAGTCTTTTCATAATATTTCAGGCCATACTAAGCCTGATGTATTAATCGGACTTTTGCAGAAGATATAAAGCATTTCATAAAGGTCATGGGATGTTCAATGAGGGTGTAGGATCCCCATGAAGACAAACCAATACAAAAATGAAGGCAACGGGAGATAAAAGCACAGCAAAGACTAAAAATGTCCTTTTGTTCTGTTGCTCCAAACTGTAATTTTACAACCTCACTCTTAGAAACACAAGTAAAGTCTGGTATCAGCATCTAACTACAGTTGCTCAAAAAGGTGCGATGAGTTTTACCGTTTCTTCTCATAATATTACATTTACTAATTAAACCTAATTTCCCATAAAGTGATTTTTGCCTATTGATCTCTCATTCCAGACCCCTCTTGTTTACTGCCAGTGATCTCATCCACTGTGTCAACTGGTGTTTTGACTTGGAATAATTCTCTTTTTATACATTCGATTTCACCTGCGCTTCCAAGCAATTCTATGGAACTCAGTCAAACTGGACTTTTAAAATCCTGAATACAGGAAATAAGTTGTTTGGGTTTTTTTTGCACAGGGCTCTAAAAAATTAGAAAGTTCAAGTCAGGAAAAAACAGCACTTAAACCAACTCAAGAAGCCAAACTCTTTCAGAGATTTTTATTCACTTATGTCACTTTCATTTGTGCTGCTTCTTATAAATCAGTCACTTGGGCTGCTGCTTATTTTTCTTGGCCATTTCTTAACTCTCTTTCCTTTGGTATAAATAATTTGATAGAAGAGAATGGATGGCAGAACTGATGAATAAATGGAAAAGTGCTAGTCTTCGAGCGGCTGAAAAAAGGAGGGAAGGAAGGGTGTCATTCTTGGGTACTTCCAAAAGAGGTGAATTTAAGAATAAGGATATATGAATCAGGAAACAGGCTCGGAGAGATGGCTGAAGCATTCCCAAGGAATTTGCATCGTTTCAATTGTTCAAAAATTAGACTGGGCACAGCCATGAAAAAAATATGATGTAAGGAATATTCGTGTACTTATGGAGGAAAGGCCTCCCAAATGGGTCTCTCGAGTCCATCTATGTGTAATTTCTAAGATCTACAGAAATGTTTCTTTCTTTCCTGATGCAACTTACCTCTCCAAGACAGCCTTCTTTCACCATGTACTTCCTGACGTGGTTCCAGATGCGACTTTTGGTCAACAAGCTGCCTCCAGTGGCCTGTTCAAACTTCTCATAGCTTCCATACTTCTGCAGGGTCCGCTCCATAATGTTAATGGCCTATAAAACACAAAAGCATAGCAAATACGAATGCAGTCGAGCCAGACTGACATGGCTATTCTTTCTCTCCCTCTCAATTTTCCCTCTCTTTATTTTTAATCTTTCTTTTTTTTTTTTAACTCATTGGGGGTCACTATCAAACCATAGTCATTAGGTTCAGGCTAACACACTGTAATTGATTTATATCATCGTCAGACATACATTAATGCCAAAGGACTGAAAAAAATTTCCAATTGACTTATCTCACACCAGCACAACACAGACGCTTTTTTTTTTTTAACTCATTGGGGGTCACTATCAAACCATAGTCATTAGGTTCAGGCTAACACACTGTAATTGATTTATATCATCGTCAGACATACATTAATGCCAAAGGACTGAAAAAAATTTCTGATTGACTTATCTCGGACCAACATACACCAGCACAACACAGATGATGGCTACTCTAGTAAAATAATACCTGTTTTCTCTTTAACTTTCGGAATGTTGTACAACTGCTAGGTAAATCAAACATAATGGGTCATGAGGGTGTTTGCAGTTCAAGTTGTCAGCATGTTTCTTTTTATGGTTTTCCAAAGAATTTGATAAAGATCAATTATTACTGTCACCTGGCTTCATTTCTCGGTATTTTCTAATTAAAGAATGCTGAAACATGATAAAGCAGATGTGTAACTATGATTTTAACAAAAATATTTCTATCAACAATGTCTCCTTACAGTGAAATCCTCTGGAAGTCTGTTGTAGAAAGATGATGGCTACTCTAGTAAAATAATACCTGTTTTCTCTTTAACTTTCGGAATGTTGTACAACTGCTAGGTAAATCAAACATAATGGGTCATGAGGGTGTTTGCAGTTCAAGTTGTCAGCATGTTTCTTTTTATGGTTTTCCAAAGAATTTGATAAAGATCAATTATTACTGTCACCTGGCTTCATTTCTCGGTATTTTCTAATTAAAGAATGCTGAAACATGATAAAGCAGATGTGTAACTATGATTTTAACAAAAATATTTCTATCAACAATGTCTCCTTACAGTGAAATCCCCTGGATGTCTGTTGTAGAAAGGAGAAGAGAAAACAGAAACTTTACTAACAGCAACTTTCTTTAAAGCCTTTAATTTAAATAATTCTTTCTAATCCCCCAAAATGAGGGAAGCGTATTTAATTAGACAAAAAAAAAAAAAAGTGGTATCAACAATTCTCTTACATATTGCTGCTAGAAGTCATCCCTTGTGGGTGGAAAGCAGAGCAGAATCACAGAATGCTATGGGGTTGGAAGGGACCTCTGGAGATCATCTAGTCCAACCCCCTGCTAGAGCAGGTCCACCCAGAGCAGGTCCCACAGGAACGTGTCCAGGTGGGATCTGAATGTCTCCAGAGAAGGAGACTCCACCACCTCCCTGGGCAGCCTCTTCCAGGGCTCTGCCACCCTCACAGGAAACAAGTTCCTCCTCAGGTTTAGGTGGAACTTCTCACATTCAAGTTTATGCCCATTTCCTCTTGTCCTGTCCCTGGGCACCACTGAAAAAAGACTGGCCCCATCCTCCTGACACCCACCCTTGAAGTATTTATAGGTGTTGATCAGATCCTCCCTCAGCCTTCTCTTCTCCAGTCCCAAAAGCCCCAAGTCCCTCAGCCTTTCCTCATCAGAGAGATGCTCCAGGCCCCTCATCATCTTTGTGGCCTCTGCTGTGCCCTCTCCAGCAGTTCCCTGTCCTTCTTGACGAAGCTTATGAAGTGATCTGAACTCTGCCTGTTAAAGATGTTACTGGTGTGGTGTGAAATGCTCATCCCCAGTCAATCTACTTCCCAACATGTCATTTCACACCCTTAAAAGAACACAGGGTATAGAATAACTTCCTGCCCAGCCACAGCCCAGTTACAGCAAAGGGCTTTTTTCATAGGTATGATAACAGAAGCTCTCAATATTACTGGTAATACCTTAAAAAATGAATGTTTTTGCTAAGAAAATACCACTGCTGATGAAGGTGGGAATCTTGCAGACTCTTTTTATGTTGTATGCTTATATCCACGCATGAAGCTGGTAACATGGTTGTTGTTTCCAGGTATGTAAGTCAGACGTTGTCAGATTGGCTTATTGTCCACAAAAAAAGGATTCATTTTGTATCTCTCGCAGCTACTAACTAGTCTACAGTTAGAATTACTATTCTAATTATTTTCAAGTTGAAACTAAGCAACCTTTAGTAATTGCTACTGAAAGCCATAAATGCTAGAAATGTATTTTTAAGGTCCTGTAGCTCTTCAGTGAGAGAAAAATCACTTACCTGAATGCCAAACATGCATCTAATGTTTGTAGCTCTTCAGTGAGAGAAAAATCACTTACCTGAATGCCAAAGAAATACTGCATCTAATGTCTAGTACTTATTTTTCTGCCTGAAATACTTGTTCTTAAATTCGAAGGGCCTCCTGGTCAGTTCTGAGTTCCTTTTTCAAGAATTAAGACAGCAGCATAATTTCCTACCTTAGCACAGCTTTTTTTTTTAAAGAAGGCTGTTGTTTTTGGGGGGTTAAGCAATCTGGAAAGCAAAGAATCTACCTACTGTGTCTCACTGCTGTCATCTCTGTTCCCTCTGGACCTGAGTGGCCAGACTAAGGCTTTATTTACACGGGAGCAGAGGGCACGCTGGAGATTTATTAATAGTGAATCAGAAAGCGAGGCATAAACAGAAATCTGTCACAAACGTCAGGCTGTGGTTATTCCAAGAGCTATACCACCAGTTCTTCAGGAGCCTAAAAGATTATAAAAAGAGATTAGAGAGGCCTTTCTGTGTCAGTAAACACTGAATTTTTCTTGTGAACGGTCAAGTCTTAACATTGCTTAGCATTTATAAATTACCTCAGCTAAATGAAGCAAGGTCAGAGTCTAAGTATTAAAAGAAGGAATATATGAATCCCTCGCCACGGCCTAACATTCCTGGAGATGGTGGACAATTGCTTCTGGCAAGATTTAGGATCAAGGGCTAGATGTAAAGAAGAAATCAGAGCAAAACCTAATTCTTGTTTAATAGCTTGTATATTTTCCCCGAGGATTTTTCCCTTTTTTTTTTTTTTTTAAATTACAAATGGATTTTTAATTTCTAAAAACATTGGCTGTTTCACAGGATTTTTTGGTGTCTGCAAATACTGAGACATTTTTCTGTGCTACACAAAATCCTTGGTTAAAGAAGCAACCCCCCAAATGCCTGCCCCTTATTCCAGGAAGTTTATTAACAGCCAGCAGACTGAGGAATTAATGATAACAGTTCTTCAGCTTCCTTTGCAAGGTGCTGGATCCTTAAGATATTAACGTTACCCGCCAGTTGTTTGGTGTATCTGGTTTCTCTGAACAGCTAATTAATTTCATTTGCTCACTCTGAAAGAAGAACTCTCTGAATTAATCGTCTGGCATGAAATTCCTCTTCATGACTTGTTGATATTAAATTTCAATCAAGTCTATTAGATTAAACACATTAAGTACCCATTTAAATTCTTTGATGTTTAAGTTCCTTTCAATGTGCATCAGAGATTCCCATTCCTGGAGAGACTTGCTGCCCAGCAGCACTGCTTTGTTTCTCAAACCCTCTTCCTTTTCTCCCCATCTCTTCTATTGCTCAGTAATAAATTCTGGAGGGGAAAAAAAATCACTGTATTTCATAGCTCTTTATAAAAATCACAGAGAGATGAAGAAGCAAGATGCAGTAGGTGAAATGGTTTGGCTTTAGATTCTCTGAAAGTAACTCTCTCCAGTTATTTACTGGAGGAAGCGATACAGAGATGGATGTTCTTTTCAAAAGGTGCCAGGATTTGGTCCTTTCCATTTTAAGGCATATTTCAGAAAATACCCACCACTCAGGATACACATCTCTACTAGTAAGTCAGACAAGGCCAGTCAAGCATGCGTGGATGACAGCAGGTTTGATGAAGCAGTGAACTGCCAAAACCATTTGAGAGCACGGGGTCAGTTTCTTCTCAACAGGAAAGCTCATAAAAATAAGGGTATTTGAGAAGGGTATGCAAACTTTGTTAACCAGTTCTCTGTTATGATGCTGGTTATAAAGCCATTACTACTGCAAGATGCAGCTTTACATGGGTTTGTTTGGTGGTATTATTCCAGGGGACTGAGTAAAAGTGCAGGTATTTTTTTAGAATCACCTCATCACCACAAACAGGGATTAAAATAAGCACTGAACATGCATTAAGCTTTCTGCTTGGCCATCTGTAACAGCAAACTCCCTGGAGCTGAAGACCTTCACATACCAAGGGAGGTAGCATGAGTTTAGGAGGCCCAAATTCTAGCTTGTCCTGCACGCCTGACTCTCCTGGAGCTGTGGGATACTGAATGGTGCCTCCTCTACCTTATAGGCCACGGTAAGTAACTTATATCCTGGCAGCTCAACCACCTCCAAACAGATGTTGCAAGTTTGAACCCATGCATATTTAGAAAGTCACTCAGCTTAAGCCTCCTCACTGCTGAACACATATTCTCCTGGTTAGGAAACTAGTAAAAGGTGCTCACCACTATCATCTTCTCTTAGAGGGTACAGCAGAGGACCACAAAGATGATGAGGGGCCTGGAGCATCTCTCTTAGGAGGAAAGGCTGAGGGACTTGGGTCTTTTTAGTCTGGAGAAGAGAAGGCTGAGGGGGGATCTGATCAACGCCTATAAATACTTCAAGGGTGGGTGTCAGGAGGATGGGGCCAGTCTTTTTTCAGTGGTGCCCAGTGACAGGACAAGAGGAAATGGGCACAAATCGTGGGACAGGACAAGAGGAAATGGGCACAAATCCTACGTAAGAAGTTCCATCTAAACCTGAGGAGGAACTTGTTTCCTGTGAGGGTGGCAGAGCCCTGGAAGAGGCTGCCCAGAGAGGTGGTGGAGCCTCCCTCTCTGGAGAAATTCCAAACCTGGACACGTTCTTGTGGGACCTGCTCTGGGTGGACCTGCTCTGGCAGGGGGTTGGACAAGACGATCTCCAGAGGTCCCTTCCAACCCCCTAGCATTCTGTGATTCTGTAATGTAGCACAACTTACTTATTAACTCAAAAGTGCTATATTTGTAGGAGTACAAAGGAAAAGGATGTCCAGCTCTTTCCCATGAGGGATTACTCATTTAACAAAATAATGATTTTTTTTTTTTTAAACCCATATATACATAAAATACATTTCCTCTCTTCATGTACAATTCAAAGAAAAAGGTGTTAACGCACAGGTCACATGCAGCTGCAACTTCCTTGCTGATTTTGGTTCAGCAAATTGCAACTGTTAAGTCATCTGCTCTGCAAAAACACTGGGGATGATGACTTCTAGCTAAGTATTGCCACCTCTAGCATCCGTGCAAAAATAATAAGCACTTTAAGCGTTAAGAAAACTGAACAATGAAGGACAAGTAGTTTGAGCCAGGAGTGCTTATAAGAAAACTTCTGTAGCACTTGGAGGACACAGTTGTTGCCCTGACCTTTAAACTCAGCGATAAGAGAATTAACTTCTGTAATATTAGATGTTTGAATCAATGTGAAAAGCTGCAAGCCTGCATGCTATTTTTTATTCTTGATTTCTCTTCCCTAAATGCACGCATTGTGTGACTCATGAAAGAACCTTATTATGAAGGAAACAAGATGAAGTAGCGAGGAAACAAAGCAGAAGAGAGACATTGAAATATTATTTTCATATGTATTAATAATTCAAAAATGTTGACTCGATGTCTATCAGAAGTCAATTGATAAATTTGTTGGGTTGTGCCCAAGGTCTAAAATCTTTGCTCTGACTAGAGGCCTGGGGTGAAGTGGGTGCTTGTGACTCTGCACACTCCCCATTGAAGCATTGCTGTGTTAATAGTTTGTAAATTCATAGTGTTCTTTGCCTTAAAAAAAAAATAGAAAATATATATATATTAAAATGGCAGGGTGTGATTTGTCTCAGATATGTTACAGTGATGCTGCATTAACCAATTCCATAGACATGCACAAAAGCAAAAAGGGCAATAAGAAAACACAGTCTGTTTTAATGTCTTATCAGGTTATGCACTGCTGTGGATAAAAATATTTTTGAAATTATTAAAAACCCTCTAAAATCCTAAAATGTCAGGTTTTGAGCTTATTTCACTGAAGTATCCTAAAAGCCCCTTCTAAAATTAGTGAGTTCACTATTTTTACAGAGCTATTTTTACAGAGATGTTGGTCATAGAAGAGCAACCAAGCATAACTTGATGTAATAACCTTTCAGAGAATAAAATAGAAATAATTCCTTTTCCGTTCACAGAAAGCTTCCTAAAATAAGTACAGCAACAAATGAAAGCCAGAAAAGTTTCTTAAAAAAACCCCAACAAAACAAACAAAACAAAAAACCCATCAAATTTGTCTTTATCCTTGTTGCAGGAAAAAGGATGACTATGCTCAGTTGACTTTTTACTGCAGACCTGAATCTTGACACTGTGAGTACGTTTTTTTGCAACTGAAGTAATCTATCCCGAATTTAACACTTTCTATAGGATACCTACATGTTTCTTCAACTTACCTACAAGTAAAATCCTCCTGGAAAAAAAAAAAAATAGCACTGAGGAAAGCAAGTGCTCATAGAATATTTGCTGATTAAAGTTTTGATTAATGCTGTTTTTTCTGGATACTAAATTTGCATGGAAAGGAATTCGAATTTGTGGGGAGATGAAGAATTCTGGTTAGTTGTAGATAAAAAAGAGAGAGTGCCACCTGCTGGGCTTGGAGCTGTGGCAAAACTTGCTTTTTTGGTTATTTATATGGAGTGCAAGATATTGCCGCTCAGTGTTTTTAGGAGCTGAACTTTGAAGAAATGCTTTTCTTGCTAAGAACTTCTATAAGCGAAACTAAATCTTACGAAACAATTTACATCCTCCTTGCTAAGTTTCAGAAATATCACTGAATATCATATCATTCAGAAATATCATTTCATTGATTATTAAATCCTTCGCTGTTATTTATAAGGCCTTTATTTTCCCATGCTTTGTATGTAAAGGAAAAAAGGCAGAGTTATAACTCTGAATAATATTGAGAAATCATTCCTTATTTGGGTGTGGGCCTTTTTATTAAAAGAAGGGTAAATCAATGCCAGACCTGCTCCATAAAATCATCAGGCATAAAATAATTGTTAAGGCTCTACCTCAGACTAAAAAGGGATAATTTGTATTAAATTCAGCTTGGTAAATTAGGTATCGTTGATTTGCTTTAATCTATGATTAATGTTGCTATGAAAATATTGCTATAAAATATTTTGCTATTGTTGCTATTAATATTGCTATAAAAAATCAGAGGAAAACTTGTTAAAGAGCTCTAGTCAAGAAGTAGTTTCATTTGCTGTCAGTATGCTTTAGTTATTTGTTTAGAAGTATGGAAGCTGACTTTAAGAGCAGAACAGCTGGTCTCATAAAGAAAATCAATTCTTAAGGAAAACCCAGCTACTGAGTTTTTAAAATATATAGAGATTTTTAATGTCAAAATGCAGTCCAAGCCTTACAAGACAATAATATAATGGGTAATAACACCTATCTGTGTTCTTGGATTTGGAGAGGATGGGGGAGAAACTCAGACCCTCTACAAGTGAAGGGTCAATTATTAGAATCCATGGCACTTGAATTCATGTATCTTTTTCACCAGGAGTATTTAGAAAAGCCTGTCAGACTTAAATAAGGTCTTCCTAAACCATTTTAAAATAGGAGAAGTGGGAAGAGGACCTGGTTCTGTTATTATAGAGATAAGCACTGGGTTTTGTCACTTAGGTCAAAGTTGAAAGCAAGGTTTTCGTTGTTCTTGTTGGGTTTTGTTTTTTTCTAACTCAAAGCCAGGTAGGAAGCCAGGGTGGTTTCACAAAATGGGAATGCCTGTAGCTGTGTTAACAGTGTGGTTGTGTATTATGATTTAAAAAAAACAGTGGGGGTATAGTGGCAGCAGGGTGGCAGGCCTGTCTGCTTAAATTTTACCCCTTTCTGGAATGGAATTTGACTGCTGCTTGATTGGGCTTAATGTATGTGCAAATATCCTTGCAAAGTTGATTAAGACAAGGAACACCAACACATGCTTCTCCAATAACCATGAGCTCAAATAATTGCTATCTCCTCCCAATCCTTGTATCACCAAGGGGATTGGCAAAATTTCTACACAGGGTTTTTTTTCCTCCATTTATTAATGCCTACTTAGGCATTGAATTTTTCCTGTATTGGACTCTGCTTTCTTGCCTTTAATTATGTTTCCTGTAAACCCATCTATCAGGAACTGTGCCTTTATCCTATGGAATCCTGTAATCATTATGATGGCTTTCATTTTTTAATCAAAAAAGACTTTCTTTCAGTTCTACTGTTGTATTCTCATCTTTGATGCATTTCTCAAAAAGCAGGGGAGCACGATAAGGAGAAAGGACTTGCTACGAGCATAGCCAAATAACATCCTAATAGGTGTAGGAAAAACTCATCAGTGGAAAAGGAGGGGAAAAAAAGTAACTATACCTGCTTAAGGAACCTGTCAGAGGCATGGCTGTGCTTAGCTAACACGTTTGGCAGAGCAGGGTTTTCATATTCAAACTGAGGATTGTACGTGAAATCCGAATTGAAGAACTTCATCTTCTCTTTCTCCACATTGGAAGGCTTGATGGCAGTCAATAAGCAGAGTTTTTGGCCCGAGACATCACCTTCTTTTCCATGGCTTTTTGAGGGCTGGGATTGCTTCGGCTTTACTAGATTAAAATGCCTCTTGGTTCTACTTCTGGGTCGAGGTGGCAGTCCTCTGCTGCTCCCTGTAACCGAGATACTGGTCGTAAACTTTGTGCTGGTGGCCAGTGGGCTAGCGACGACGATGGAGGGCTGTCCATTTGTGCAGTACCATCCACCGCCGAGCAAGGGGACGGGGACTTTGATCTTGCGGTGCTCGTTGCTTCGCAAGGTGGTAGAACACTTTATGGGTTTTCTGTGCTTCTTGTGGTGAGCAGATGACTGCTTTTGAGCGTGGTGCTTCTTCTCCTCTTTGCTCTGCAGGAGGACGTTGTAGCTACTGGTTCCTGTGGTGAAAATGTCCTTAAGGATCCCAGAGGGTGGCTGCTGGAGGCTGTTTTCATTATTAGTGTTCAGCTTATGTTCTACTGGACTCAGGATTGATTTCTTAGAAAGCTCCGTCTTAGGCCAGTGAAGTTTTTCTGCATTGAAGGGAAAAAAAAAGAAAAAAAAAGCTTGAGGACAACATTTAGTTCACCCAGGAATCTTAAGGACTGAGAACTGCAACATAAACAAAACGCAGGGCTTATCTTAACTGCAGTCACATCAAGTTAATCTTGACCTCTAGACACGTGGGAGAGTTGTGTGTGTCTATCACTTCCAAACAATTAGACTGAGACTTGTAAGACCCAGCAAAGAACTAATTGGTTTAAAACAAGACTCTGAGCGGGACTTCATGAAGGTTTACTCTTACATTGACAAATTTCTGAGCAAAATCTGATTCGCCTTTATCACACAGGGAAGGATTTCTGCATGGATAAAGAGTAAGTTAAAACACAGGAAGCTGTAGAGCAGTGTATGGCCAGTATTTGGAGGGAAGCCCCCCAGGGGTGTGTGCTGTGATAGAAGCTGTCTGGGGAGGTCTCATCGTCAAAATCTGATTCACAAAATTTACTCTTGGGGGGGAAAAAAAAAAAAAGAAAAAAAAATTGGAATGGGCCAGCCACTGCCAACAATTTACACCACCATATGAATAGTAATTTAAGTTTAGAAGACTCCAATTTCATATATTCCTTCTTCATACAGACAGCAAGCTGTATTTAAAGAGGAGCGAGAAGTGAGATCAGCTAGTTACAAACACCCTCCCTAAGAATCCTTAAGATAAAGTGGTTCTACAATAACAGCTGGCTTTCAGAAAATGGAATTCAAGAAGTGACTAATGTTCCTTTAGTGAAGGAACCCTCTTTTCATGCTCTGACCCCCGGCGGGGGACAGGGGGGATCCTCAGTGCAGAGCGGTCCCACAGATAAGCTGCTGAGGATTAAAACTGTATTTAACATTTGTGCTGGCTTGTTAGAGAGAAGCGACCTCTCTTCACTGGTTCTAACCATCCCCTTCTCTCCCCAACCAGTTCATCCCAGAGCACTAGGGAAGCTGTAAGGAAGGGTGCAAATAAATACTGCCACAGATGAACGCTTCCTACTTCTGCACCTAAAAGGAAAGGATTCGCAGAACAGGAGCCGTGGCTGGAGCTCGATGAAAGCCCGCAAAAGGGATTTGAGCTTCAGCCCACAGATATACACAGCTGAGCAGTAATTACTTTACATACAGTAATTATACTCTGAATGGAACATTAGCAAGAGATCATTAAATGCCTCCAAGGGAAAAAAAAAATCGATAGTAGTTTGGTTTCAGCTTGATTTTCACAGTCAAATTAGGCTTTCCTCCCAAACTCAGCACCACGACGATGTGTTTCATGCTGTTGGACCTCTGTTGGGTCCATGTCAACCTGTCTCCCCGGGTCCTCCTGAAGATGCTGGTCTAAAAAGCAAGATGACAGAGGTCCTATTTGCGTCAACACGCATGGGGAAATCTGCAGCCTGGGTGTTTTGTCCATTGGAAGGAGAGAAGTAGAAGCACCAGGTTATTCTCCTCCGCTCAAGCGTGTGTGTCTTACGCAAGCTCAGTTTTGTTCCCAGGAAGTTTGCGAATCCTCTCTCTTTGCTCGGCACAGCAATGCCCTCCGTGGCCTTCTGTCGGACCCTTCTCATGGCACGGGTGACTGCCTGCCTGCCAGGCTCACCCTCCTGTGGTGGTGAGGAACCACAGTTCTCATCGCCAGGTAAACAGCACCCAGGACACCCTGCAGTGGGCGTTCACTTATGTGTGTCCTTTCCTACACACAGCTGAAGTAAAACGAGACATTTTCTGGACAGCAGAATAAGATGACAGCTCGCACGTATTTCTTGGCAAGCATTTAAGATTGACCTAAGCTGTTGGACCTCTGTTGGGTCCATGTCAACCTGTCTCCCCGGGTCCTCCTGAAGATGCTGGTCTAAAAAGCAAGATGACAGAGGTCCTATTTGTGTCAACAACTTCTTCACTTTGAGGGTGGCAGAGCCCTGGCAGAGGCTGCCCAGGGAGGTGGTGGAGTCTCCTTCTCTGGAGACATTCAAACCCCACCTGGACACGTTTCTGTGGGACCTGCTCTGGGTGGACCTGCTTTGGCAGGGGGTTGGACTAGATGATCTCCAGAGGTCCCTTCCAACCCCATAGCATTCTGTGACTCTGTGACCTCAGGCCTGACTAGATGATCTCCAGAGGTCCCTTCCAACCCCATAGCATTCAGTGACTCTGTGACCTCAGGCCTTTACCAAGAACTTCTTCACTTTGAGGGTGGCAGAGCCCTGGCAGAGGCTGCCCAGGGAGGTGGTGGAGTCTCCTTCTCTGGAGACATTCAAACCCCACCTGGACACGTTTCTGTGGGACCTGCTCTGGGTGGACCTGCTTTGGCAGGGGGTTGGACTAGATGATCTCCAGAGGTCCCTTCCAACCCCATAGCATTCTGTGACTCTGTGACCTCAGGCCTGTACCAAGTGTTACAGTACAAGAATCTTTACTTTTAAGAAGGGTAAATGAAAAGCAAGTTTTCCAGAATGTCTGAAGACAGAAATGTTACATTTCTGAGCACGGGATTTTGTTCGTGTAGGCAAAATTTGAAGTTAGAAGTTCAAGAGATTCTTCTTAAAATACAGACAAGCGATAATAATGTAATGATAGCAGTGGTAACATTTCACCTTCTCTACTCATCAATTCCCAAAAGCCACAAAGAGCAGAGAAGCCTTAATTTGCTACTACACAGGGAATATTTTACATTAATAATGCAAGTGTATCCAAGAAGTGATAAATAGAAAAGAAAAAAAAAAAACCACAACAAAACCAGAATCAGATTTCAAAATGACCTTAAAAAGATCCCCCCAAGCTTTTGTGTCGATCCAATGCCAAAAACTCAGGACAGTAAGCTTTCAGAGCTAAGTGGTGTTGTTGACCAGTAAAGCTGCATGTAGATCTCCAAAATTTCTGAACATCCCAAGTCAGAATTCTCCCACAAGTGTCACAAACGGTGGTCGAGCGCTGAACACACGCTGGCAGGTTTCACACGCACATGGTTGATATCAAAAATAGTTGTCCCCAAATCTGTAGTTACTTTTTATGTGCGAGCTCATAGCAAAGTGATTTTTCAGCTGCCAAACTAAATATGGTTGTCCTTAATTCTCTTCCGACTAAAGAAGGACACTGTTTTATACATATTTGTGCTGGAAACATAGAATCAAGAGATAACCCAGCAGATTCGAAAGATTATATTAGATAACGCTGTAGTTTTCACATAAGTCACTTAACTGCTGGTCTACATTTTTGGATTGCTCCTGTGAACATCATAATTTTACAAAATAAGCTAGAAAACAGTATTTGAGATTACATCAAAACCATGTTGCAAACCACCAAATTTTAAAGTTCTTTCTTCAGTACATTTGTTTAATCTGTAATAGTTACTGTTTTAAACTCACATCTGTTAGATTTCATGTTAAGTTCAGGAACAAGGTTACATTAATGGTTTCCACCTTTGTGAATTGATGTATTGAGCTAATCTTTTATTATATTAATAATATGTGTAGTAAAAGCCCAATGTAAGAATTTTTCCAGACCTTGGAGAGTGTTGTGGAAAAAAATCTTCCTCTAGGCCACTGGGTACCTACTATCCAAGCATCTTCTTAACTATGTGTTCCATAGGTGGAATGAGGTTTATGAAGATAGGTATTTGGAGAGTGTTATATATGAATATGTAATCTTCCACTGCCTCTCAAATACTACAGGCTTATGTTAGTGGAGTAACAGAACCTGAGCAGAATCCCGTAGTATAATTCATCACCACTATAAACACCTTTAAATTTTCCCAACAGTCAAGTTTTGAACAGAATGTGTCAGGCAACTCGAACCAAACAGCGCTAGAAACCCTGTCGATAGTGACTGAAAATGGATTCGCTTTAGAATTAGTCAGTGTGCTCCTGTAAAAAGACTGGCGCAGAGCTATTTTCTATATTCACAGCAAATTAGTAATTACCTAGAACCCATATATGAACTTTGACAGGTAACCTAAGAATATTTTTTTCCAAAATATCCACACATTTGCCTTTCTCCTGTAACAGTGTATCTGTCATTCAACTTGAATTCTGAGCTCCAAAACCAAGAGCCAACTGGCATGTCAGATTCATTAACTGCCAGCGTTTGTAAAGAACTCTCCTATATATCCAGCATTTATGGGATTCATTGGCACGATTTTAGATTGTGCAGTATGTTTTTTCTTCTTTAAAATTACAATGATGCTTAAGATGTACTCTTTTGCCTTAAAAAAAATATACACATGAACTGACTCGCAAGCAATTTCTTGCATGCATGTTTCTACCCTGAAATATGATATTATGCAACTGACTCCAAATTTAGGTTCTTCAAATTAAATTATATGAGCACAGTAATAATCAGTAAAAGTGAAGACTTGGCCCTAATGAAATCAAGTAATAAACTCCCATTGATTTAATAGACTCAGGATATAATCACAAAACTGATTTATAGGCAGACCTGCACAGGATGAACTTTCCATTCAAGGAGAGCTCTAGCTCGCTCTGCTGCAGGACAGGTGTGTTTGGGAATAGCTGACTGAGGGATATGGACCCCAAATTACCATCTTTCCTCTTAAGAAATCTTAATCCTTTAACATTACTCTTCTGTTGTTCATCTCTAGGGATGCACTGTCTGGTTCCATGAACTTTATTTCTATACCCATTACCAGAATTAACACCCTAGTTGTATAGAATCGGAGGATGGTTTGGGTTGGAAAGGACCTTCAAGGTCATCAAGTTCCAACTCCCTGTCCTGGGCAGGGACACCTCCCACCAGACCAGGTTGCTCCAAGCCCCATCCAGCCTGGCCTTGAACCCCTCCAGGGATGGGGCAGCCACAGCTTCTCTGGGCAACCTCTTCCAGTGTCTCACCACCCTCACAGCAAAGAATTTCTTTCTGGTATCTCATCTAAATCTCCCCTCTTTCAGTTTATATCCATGCACAGATGGAAGAGCATTCACACCACACAGAGAAAGAGTAGCTCTAAGAAATCTTAATTCTGATCGTAGCAGTATCACACGAGGGACCACCACGCCACCTCCGGTCTCCTCTAGATCCGGCTTGAAGCAGCTGAAGAAATGACATGTGGAATGATGTCGAATTTAAACAGGGAAAACATCGGAGTGAAAAAAACAGCGTTGCAGGTTCTCATGTGTAACACACACACACAGCACTGAGAGTAAAACTTCTCGATACCACCCAAAACCATTCCACGTTGCAGTTCTGTAGTCTAGTGCAGGTTTTTATGGAATCACAGAATTGTCGGAGTTGGAAGGGACCTTCTAGAGCCCATCCAGTCCAACCCCCCTGCCAAAGCAGGGCTGCCCAGAGCACATCACTCAGGAGCATCCAGGTGGGGCTTGAAGATCTCCAGAGAAGGGGACTCCACACCCTCCCTGGGCAGCCTCTGCCAGGGCTCTGCCACCCTCACCCCAAACAAGTTCTTCCTCACATTGGAGTGGAACTTCCCATGGTCCAGCCTGTGCCCGTTGCCCCTCGTCCTGTCCCTGGGAACCCCTGAAAAGAGTCCGGCTCCCTCCTCCTTCCACCCACCCTTTAGATCCTTGGAAGCATCAATAAGGTCTCCCCTCAGCCTTCTCTTCTCCAGGCTCAAGAGCCCCAGCTCTCTCAGCCTTTTCATAGCATAAAGATTCGTAAAGTTCCCTGAAAATACGGCAAAGGGGAGAGCCGAAAAGTGAAAGACGCAGACCTAACGAGTAATATTTTTATTAGCTTTTCTCTTTGCCAGCTCCCGTGGGCAAAGGTGGGCAGGTGCCACCTCCCGCCCTGTCCCTGTCCCTGGAAGGGGACACGGCCCCGACCCACCCAGGAGACCCCCGCTTGGCCGCCTCGCCTCAAGCGGAGGCACCTTCCCCTCGTCCCCCGGAGCGGGGACGGAGCTCACGGACACCCCTCGCCTCCTCCGGCCGTGGTTTGTTTCCCCGCCCGGGAGCTGCCGTTGGCGCCGGGCAGGCGGGGGGGGGGGGGGGGG